AGGACGAAAGACCTCCCTCCGGATGCTTGAGGGCGCCTCCCATCAATGCGTCAATGGAAGTCAATGCGTCTACAGGAAGGGATGGATGGCTGGAATAATTCCACAGCACCGTTCCAACAGAAGGGAATGGCATCCAGCAAACCCCTTTTCCAAGGTGTAAAGAGCAGTGTTTTCAAAACATCCCCCCGCACGCTGGGAGATCGAGGGGATGATGTCTCTCGGAAACGGCTCAGAGATTAGCAGCCCAAATGAGTCCTGGCAGAGACGGATGGGAGAGCCGTTAGCAGGGCAGGCGGTCAAAAGGGCAGATAAATCCAATTTACTATATCATGGGCACGGCTATTTATCAGGTCAGGTTGTCACCAGCTTGGCTAACTCCATTGATGTCGTTAAAGTTAAGCCAGCACAGAATTGAGGCCCTGCTACAGTATATCCTTACCCAGAGGTGGCTTTCTCTCCACACTTCCCTTGCACACTTGCACAAACACCTCCCCCACCATCTTGGACCCCACCTCAATCTCTTCCCGTTCCTCCTTTCTGTGTTATTAAATCACACCTGCCCAGCGCTTGATTTATCTGCCATGCTTGACGGACTCTTCATAATGACTTTTCCCCAAGCGTCTTGCTCCCAGGGCGGCCACGATTCATTCCGCCGGGGCTCCTGAGTCTTCGGCTCCACAACAGGCTGAGGTGGAACCGGTGAAGCGCCTACCACCCACTCGGGAGATCTCCATGGCCGAGTTTATGCCTCACCTGCATAAAATGTCTGCCTTTCACAGGCAACTTGGAAAGTCACATGTGCATCACAAAATGGAGGGACATGCAGGGTTGTTATTGTTTTTTTAAAAAAGTTTCAATAAATATAATACAAAAATTAAAAATCACTACATGCTTTGAATATATTTGGGGGCACATTTCAGGGGCATTTTTAGCATATTTTAGTGGAAAGGTATAAATTACATGGATGGATGGATGAATGGACGGACAGATGGATGGATGGATGGACGGACGGACGGATGGACTGACGGATGCATGGATGCATGGATGCATGGATGGACGGACATTTGACTTCTTTGTTATGACTATTTTCCCTCCTTTCCTGTCTTAGCCAAACAGCTGCTAAGCATCTTTACCAAATCCTGCAGTTGACACCTGCGTAATTAGACCGTATTGGATTTCTTAACAGGGTTTTGTTACCATCTTATTGTTTCGTTTGTGGCCTGCCTTGAACATCAGGTATTTACAAATGCCTCCTATTGTTCTAGATTTTAAATGAGATTAAAACGGGCAAATAAATGCATGACCTCCCAGTCTCCCTAAGATAGCTGAAAGGAATGAATAAGGATGAAGTTTTAAAAGTCCTGTTATTTCTACAATGACCTCGTGATTTCATTCTCTCTCTCTCTCTCTCTCTCAAGAGCTTCTGTGTGATTTTACCCACTAGCTGTAAGCCACTCTCATAATTTAGCTTTTGGTCTTCTTCCCAATCGTATGAGGAATGGTTTCCTGAAACTGGTTGCGTTTTGAGCAGTAATTAGCTCAGGGAGCCAGGTTTGCTCATTGCCTGGATCTTAATTAGTATAAATTTAAAGGCCAGCCGGCATGGTGCATTTCTTGGCATGTCAGTGCTAAACCAGGAGGGTGAGACTTCTCCTCTTTCTTCCCTTTTCCCTACCAGTCTCCAGGGATCCAGAGATCAAGCGGATAAGACACACACAAAAAATCTAATTTTAGCAACCGACAAGGAATGGTTGGAGCTGAGCCACCCTTGGAAAAGAACAATGGCCCGGTCCCCTCCATTTCATATCCAGAAACTGGCCAAACTGTTCGGCTGAATCTGGCTTTGACGCTGGTGATGGGAGGGTTTTCATCATCATCATCATCATCATCATCATCATCATCATCATCATCATCATCATCATCATCATCATCATCATCATCATCATCATGCACTATCAAGTCAATGCTGACCTGTGGCAACTCTTTTCAGGGTTTCCTCGGTAGAGAATACGTACCCTTGTTCCCCGAAAATAAGACCTAACCTGAAAATAAGGCCTAGTATGATTTTTCAGGATGCTCGTCATTAAAGCCCTATCCCAACAATAAGCCCCAGTTAAGTGTAAGTCCACCCTACACCTTTGTGCAGCAACCAGAAGAAGAGGACAGGACTGTATTTAAATAAGAGTAAATTGTTGTACAGGAAAAAAAAGAAAACATCCCCTGAAAATAAGCCCAAATGTGGGTTTTTTTGGGGGGGAGGGGGAGCAAAAATTAATATAAGCCTCTGTCTTATTTTCGGGGAAACACTGCGTTTTTTGGGGGGGAGGGGGAGCAAAAATTAATATAAGCCTCTGTCTTATTTTCGGGGAAACACTGTAGGTTTCACCTTCCATTCTTCTGGGGGCATTTCTGGGGACTGTGCAGCTTGCCCAAGGCTACCTAGGCTGGCTGGCTTTGCAGGAGGCCCCATGGGGGAATTGAACTCCCCCTGGCTGGCTTTGCAGGAGGCCCCAGGGGGAATGGAACTCCCAAACTCTGGCTCCACAGCCTGTCTCACTCACTGAGCTCTCTCCAGCCAGCTTCATTTCTCCACGAGTGGGTCAAAATGCCATCCCTTGGCCCATGGAACCAAACCCTGCATCTGACCCGTCTCAGACTTAACGTCTGCACCCTAACCCTTGACAAGAAACTGGAGGTCTTACAAGAACTGGGGGTTCTTGTAAGCAACTATGGGTTCCCAGGAAGGATTTTGCTTTTGCAGTTATTAGGGCTGAATTCTCTGTACTTTTGCTCCTTTTCTCCACGAAACAACATTTAGTGGCTCAGGACTAGAATTTGAAATGATGATGATGATGATGATGATGACCAACTAGGCTTTCTTTTTTTGTTAAACCTGTGTCTGTTATATAATGCCAGTCAATGTTTTTATGATTTTGTCTTTTTTTTGACGGTGTTTCCTATTTTTGAATATTTTTATATTAATTAAAAGAAAAAGACTCCTCACCTTTACTCCGAGCCATAAATAGGCAGTCCCATTCCGTTGCAGCAGAGCGGGGATTTAATCGGGAAAATGGGGATTTAATGTCCACCGCCTTTCATAAAAGTTCTGGGAAAGCAGGGTCATTAAAGCCAAAGATTCTGAATAATAATAATAATAAAAAGCCAGGCAACATTAGCAGTGGGGAAAAATCTTTGCAAATCACTTGTTTTAATTATGCCCGTCGGCTTTATTCTAATAAATCCTTGTTCCTTTACATTCTTCAAGGGAAGGAAGAGAAAGCCAGCTGAATGAACTCTGGCGCCTTAAGCTCCAGTGTGTTACTCATTGCGATTGTGTTCGATAAGCCTCCGCATTATAACAGGGATCGGTAGGTTGAATGCTGCCACGTTGGGAGGATGGGCGAGAGATAAGGCACCACCTTCCCAAAAATGCAACCCCTGGGAGCTACCAGAGGCTAGAGGTCATGATTCCATTTTTCACTAGGGTTGTGTGATCCCATACAATGTAACTGTGCAATGTAATGGTCAGTCAAGTCACCTCCAGTTTATGGTGACCCTTTGAATGAGTGCTCTCCAAAATGTTCTCTCCTCAACAGCCCTGCTCTTGGAGATTCAAACCATGTAGCTTCTTTTAGAGAGTTGGTCCATCTCTCGTATTTGGTCTTCCTCTTTCCCTTTCTTTCCACTTTTCCCAGCATTATTGTCTTGAGTCTGGATAATCTGGGTCTTACATCCTTATACTTGATGATCTTTTCTAATCCCCTCATTGCTGCCCTCTGAGTTTCCATCTTCTTTATTCTGAACATTAGCTGCCTAAGAATAACAGTCAACTTGATTCTGATTTAGAGTTTTCTAGGTAGCACGCACTTGGAAGGTCCTTCCCTCTGAGGGCACTTTTGAGATGGTGCCACTTGAGATCAGAGCAGATGGATGCCAGTGCCATGGTGGTGTCTCTGGAACATGGGTTCTGTTATTGCAGCCTGAAATCACATTGGCCTTTTTTGCAGCCATGTGGCGCCGCTGGCTCACATTCTGCTTGTGAGCTACAGTTCCAAGGTCCTCCTTGCTTATCGTATTACTGAGTCTTGCAAGCTTCTTGAAGGCAAGTGGGTGGGATTCATGGGAGGAGCACCCCCTGTGGTCTGGGAAGGGATGGGCTGTGAAAGAGTCTCCATGAATGGGAGATCAAGGGAGCCTGTCTCGAGCGTGGCGTCTCAGGGTTTGGCTTTGGCCTCTCCCCCTGGGGGACTGAGGGAGCCAATGGAGAAGAGGTCCTCCTGCTGGTCCTGCTTCACCTGGGTCTCCAAGGAGGTGATCCGCTGCTTGAGCTTCATTTGGGCAGAGTCATACTCGGCCAGAAGACGGGAGAAGCGTGCATTCAAGGTCTCCAGGCTGCTCTCTAGACGGTCCAGTTTTTGGCCCGCCTCCATGCCCTCTGTGCTTTCTGCTGCTGCTGCTTCATCTAGCAACCCTTCCTTGATGAGAATCTCTCGGCCCCGTTCCTCCAGGACTCTCTTGGCATCTGGATATTCCGTGACTGCTTCCATGAGGTCCTCCTTCGACAGGCAAAAAAGGTCCGAGTAGCCAATGCTCCGAATATTGGCCGTCCGCCTGTTCCCCATCTTGTTCCCTTTGATGTTGAGGATGCTGATCTCTCCAAAGCAGCAGCCTGCTGCCAGCAAGGCATACTGAGTCACGCCATCATCTGCCACGACCGCCAGCTTCCCTTCCTTGATGATGTACATCTCCTTGCCTATGTCCCCCTTCCGGCAGATGTAGTCACCAGGGCTAAAGACCTGAGGGCGTAGCTTGAGCACCAGCTCCACCAGAAGCCCAGCCTCACAGTCTTGGAAGATCCTCACCTTCTTCAGAGTCTCCAAATGGACATGGATGGCGATCTCGGCTCGCAGCTTGTCCGGCAGGTTCTTCAGCACCTCCCACTCATCCACAGTCTTCTTGTTGGTCCAGAGGTAGTCGAACCACTTGATGACCTTGGCCTCCATCTCCTTGCTCACCTTGCGGAACTGCATGTAGTGCTTGACGGCGTCGATCTTAGCCTGGAACTCCACCCGGGTTGCGTTCATGTTGGAGATCATGGAGCCCACGTTTCCCACGATAGTGGCAAAAATGAGGACACCGATGAGGAAGTCAAAGATAACAAAGAGGTACTCCTCATCACGCACAGGAGGAGGCGTTTCCCCAATCGTGGTCAAAGTCAAGGTGGACCAGTAGAGACAGTAGACGTACTCCCTGGTCAGGTACCCATACTCTGGGTCAGAGATGTTGGGATAGACCCAGGTGTCTTCTCCAGGAGATGTTGGGATAGACCCAAGTGTCTTCTCCAAAGCCAATGGCCTTCGAGATGGCATAGTAGATGCAGGCATTCCAATGGATGATGATCAAGATGTACAAGATCAGGTTGCTGATCCTGAACATGTTTGGGTAGCTGGTCCTGGTCTCGGTGCGGTCAAAGAATTCAAACATGCGGGAGAAGCGGAGCAGGCGGTTGAAGCGCAGCTCGGGGTGGTGGAGGCCGAGGGCGAAGTAAGCCAAGTCCGTGGGCAAGACAGACAGGATGTCCAGCTTGAACTGCAGGGTTGCAACGTATTTGGCATGCAGCTTCTTAAGATCTTTGACAAGTAAGCCTTGCTCCAAGAAACCTGCCGGGAGAAAAACAGTGAGGCGTTGAACGCCCAGCAGACCTCAGCCACTTGGTATTACCTGCAGACACAGGTGTACCTCTGGTGTGTCTTGTTTCTACCTAGTCTGCTCCTTCCGCATGGCTCAACCTCTGTCTAACCTCTTCACCCTATAGGAGCGTTTGACTTGCTTGAATGCTTATAGCTATTCAGGAGAAGGGGCAGGATCTGTTCTTGGTCATTCCAGAGTGCAGGACATGCAATAATGGGCTCAAGCCATAGCAAGCCAGATTTAGCTTGAATATCAGGAGAAACGTCATAACTGTTAGAGTAGTATGACAAAGGGACCTATGACTTTGGGAGGTGGGGAGCTCTCCAATGCTGGAGGCCTTCAAGAGAAAACGGGACACCCATTTGTAGGATCTGCTTTGATTTGGATTCCTGCATTGAAGAGGGGGTTGGTTTAGATGCCCTTATGGGACCCTTCCAACTCCATTATTCTATTACTCTTTGAAAACATAATTATGCGCGCCATCAACTCACTTCCAACACAGCAACTCTTTTTGGGGTTTCCTGGTAAGAGAATACAGTGGGGTCTTGACTTGAGTGAAAACATAATTATGTGCGCCATCAACTCAGTTCCAACACAGCAACTTTTTTCAGGGTTTCCTGGTAAGAGAATAAACAGAAGTGCTTTACCTTCCTCTAGAGGCAACCTTGGGATCGTGCAGTTTGCCCAAGGCTACCCAGGATGGCTCTTCTCCCAGGAGGCACATAGTGGGGAATCGAACTCCCAACCCACATTTAAACCACTGAGCTATCTAACCAACTGGTCATTTAAAAAGAGTAATTATACAGCAGTCAAGAAGGACGAATGGTTCAATAAGAAGCTCTCTTTTTCAGAAGTGCTCTGCTGTCTGTAAGTCAAGGGTCCACTGTAAACAGAAGTGCTTTACCTTTACCTTCCTCTAGGGGCAACCTTGGGATGGTGCAGCTGGCCCAAGGCTACCCAGGATTGCTCTTCTCTCAGGAGGCACAGAGGAGGAATTGAACTCCCAACCCACACTTAAACCACTGAGCTATCTAACCAACTGGTCATTTAAAAAGAGTAATTATACAGCAGTCAAGAAGGACAAATGGTTCAATAGGAAGCTGTCTTTTTCAGAAGTGCTCTTGGTCAGTGTGTGTTGCGTGCCTTCTTTCACTTTTTTGAAAATTTTTTTTTGCAAATATTACATATATGTCCATAATTTTAAATTGCGCAGTGATCCACTCCTCTTTGGAAGCCAAGTGGAGGAAGAGGGAGAGTCCTCACTGCAGCAGCTACGTCTGGCCTCTTGAGGTCCCCCAGCCTCACCTGTGCGCAGCCGGATGCCGATGTCCACCAGGTAGATGGAGTCGGACAGGTAGTCCAGAATCAACCAGCAGATCAAGTACCTTCTTTGGAGCTCACTGAAACAGGCTCTGGGGAGAGACCACAACAGGTGGAGGAGTGTTGTGGTTGGAAGGGAGCCCTCACCCTCTCAGACAAAACAACAAGTTGCACGTTTTGCTAGAGGTGTGCAAAAGTGGCCTTCACTTGAGTGCTTCTTTCAGGAGAGACCCCTTACTCATGTCTGGACCTTGGAGAAGGGACACATGAGAGACCCAAGACCAGCAGGAGCAGCAGGCGGAAGAAGCCACTTCTGAAGTCCTTACAGATCGGCCCAGCTTAGGGGCCCCCAACCCTATGGCTGGCCTTGGAGATAAAGCACCTGTTGTGACAATAAGCCACAACTCTGTGTATGGGGTGGGGGCGGGAGGAGAGAAGAGCCAAGAAGAAAAAAGGAGACAGAAGGATTTGTGGTGGATGAGTCCACTGCCTGCTCAGGAAGGCCCGCGTCCAAGCTATGGGGCTTCCACTCACCGCGCAACCAGCATGCTCCAGTTGTAGAGGACGGGCAGGGCAATGGCAAAGAGCCAGCGGTAGTACCACTCCCCTGCAGGGTCCACCACAAAGATGGTCCATGTTTTCCTGGAAAGAGAACAAAACCATTATCTCCTGGGGACATGAACCTCCAGGAAGCCTATCAATAGCAAAAAAAGGGGGGAAAGGGTGTATGTGTGTGTGTGTGTGTGTGGAGTTGGGCCTGTGGAACCTCCAGAGACATGTTCCTGGCTCAATACAGTATAAGGAAAGAAAGTGATTCCGAGCCATGACAAAGTTGGTCAGGTGAGTACCTCTCTTCGCCTCTGTAGGGGCCCTTGGCTAATAGCCAAGGACGAGTCGTAGGGGAGCCTAGCCCCTTCCCTAGACTTCCCACATGCACCTAAGAGTCATTGGGAAAGTGCTGGGCTTGTATATTGTTTCAGCCCAAAGCTTACCTAGTTCAAGAAAGCTATCTATTTTCAGTCCACAGGTCTTACAAAGACCCAGACTGGCTGATACAAAAACAATAATTTGTTGGAGTTTTATTTGCAACCTCGCATGCTGCTCATGCTTTGAGTGACTGGGAGGGACTCCTCTGGGCAAAGGTGATCCTGTCCATCCATCCAGCAGTAGCCAATCATTCCCTCCCATCTCTGAATGCAAAGAGAGCCCCGCCTCCCTGCTCTGTGTTCTTTTTCATCTTTTCCTGGGTCGGTGTCAGTTGTTCATTTTGCTGCTAATCTGTTCCCAACTGTTAAGTAATGGCCTGTTTTCATTCTTTCTCCTTCAAACGTCTCAGAGAGAGTTATTGAGGCCTTGAGCACCATGAGAAATGGGTGGACTAGGGAACATGAAGCTATTCTCCTCTGGAAATTGCTGTACTTCTGCTATGTAGCACAAGGAATGTTGCCAGAAATTCAAAGCTCTGCGACATATTTCCAGGCTCTGAGCCTCAGCCCAGTGGAAACAAAAGAAGGGAGCCTTACTTTTTCTTCTTGTCCTCGTCTCCCAGGGCTTCTCCATTCTCTGCAGCCAGTGATGTCACATCCGGCCCTCGAAAGCGTGCCAGGAAGGAATCCGGTCTCAGCTCCTCTTCCCTCTTCAAGGTTTTATTCACCCATCCCCGGACAGCCATCACCACCCGGACAACCCTGGAGAGGGAGGGAAGGAGCTTAGGGTGAAGGCCGAGTGATAGGTCAGAGACCAGATCGGTGAGCCATGAGACTTGCAAACTGGTCAGCCTGCTTATGATTTGAAGATCAGTTGCAAAGCAAGCTCACTTGCAAGCTACAGGGGCGGTCAGCATGCTTACAATTTGAAGACCAGTTGCAAAACAAAGCAAGCTCACTTGCAAGCTACAGGGGTCGAGAAAAGCTCCTTCTGTGACCATGACATGCTCTTAGGAGTCAAAGACCTTCCTCATCTCAGGATGGGTTCTTTTCCATCCGTCCCCAGATGCTCGGCAGGGAGGCGAGGCAGAGAGCCCCCTGGCCAGCTGGGGCTGGCATGGGGTTGGAGATCCTTCCAGAAGGCAATCAACGTCCAGGCAAGAGGTCCTCCTGACCTTTACAGGTTCAACGGAAGACCCTTTTCGCAAGCCCTGGACCAAATGTACGAAGCGCACTTTTACAGGTTCGACAGAAGACCCTTTTTGCAAGCCCTGGACCAAATGTACGAAGCGCAACTGACAGCCTCCATAAGGGGATTGCTCCCAGTGGCAGAACAGAAGCTTTTGTTCCCCCGTTGATGGTGAACATTCAAGATCCTTCGCGGAAGCGCAGTCCCCCCAGCTAGCAGGATCCAGGAGCCCAAACAGCCCGTGTGGTTTCCCCTCAACCGGCGAGGAAGGCAGCTGCAGCTTGAGCCACAGAGAGGCATCCTGCTTTTCCAGACCCACGACTGACCCCCAGGAACAACTCCCACAGCCCCCAAGTCATGGACTGGCTTTGTCGGCTGGCTGCTGGCACCGACCCTCTGAAGGTTACACCCCACAAATACCTGGTGAACTTGTTCTCATGGTGGGACACCCGGGGCGTGTGGTTGGCATCGTCCAAGGAGGCGACCCCCTGTAGCTCCGAAGACGTGTCGTCGGTCGTAGAGGGTGCTCTGGGGAGAGACCCAGCGGGCAAGTGACTCTCTGCTGTCACGCAGAGGTGGCAGCTGATGTGAGGCAGGAAACAGTGCTGGGCATCTTACTCGGGAGAGTTGCTCCAAGGAGTACCTCGACCTTAGTCCCAAGCCTGTGATTCCTGCTGCATTCGGTTATATGGACCCTACTATTGCACCCAAAGGGGCTGCTCCCCATCCCAAACCCCAGGAGCGTTCCTGTGGCTTTTGATCTTGAAGCAAAACGACCCAAAGGACACACCTGTGCTCAGGTATTCAACCCCTGGTGCTCATGAGTTGACGGCCAATCCTTCCCATCTGGCTGAAGCACATCAAGCGTGCCTCCTTCCTGACCCTGAGTAGCCACCATCCTTTGAAGCTTTGAAGAAGGATGCCCTCCGTTGCTCGGCCTCACCCATACCCTCACCTGCTGCTGTGATGGCTGAGTTGCGTCTGCTCCATTTCGCGTTCAGAGGCAGCCTTTGTCCTTCTGGGCACTGGCAGGTGATGGTTGGCCGGAGAAGCCTTCCTGGTGTCGCCGCTCTCTGTCATCCTTCTCACTCCACAGTGGGCAGCACCCGGGGGGTGGGTGGGAAATCTGCTCCACAAGACAAGGGAAATGAACACCCAGGACAAAGTCCTGCAGAACACAACTTGTGGACACCGTGACCTAATCGGTGTCAGGGGGAGGGTTGTGTCGATGGGCCATCGGCGCAGCTCCATCCATCTTGCCTTATAAGGTGAGATGGGACTCCCTCTGTGACACGGAGAGAAGATCAGAGATTTCCAGAGGTGGAACACCATGGACTGGTTGCAGCAGAAACGTCCACGATTCCTGGGACTCCTTAAGTACTAGCACGTTTCATTTGATATAAGCTTTCGAGGACCGTAGCCCGCTCCATCAGATGTGCAGAGCAGAGCTTCCATACACAAGCATGTCTACAAACACAAGAAAGGGGAAATATCTCTTTGGATTTGGGTAGGGTTCTCTGCAGAAGCTGGTGGGTCTCCACTTCATATCTGCAACTTTCCACTGCATGAATTACCAAGAGAGCAGCAATGTGAGGCTGCTGGGTAGCCCACGTGGTAGCTCATGGAGGTACATTCACTCACTGTTGTTTCAGCAGCTTCACATCAAGCCCGTCCCACCACAACCCTACCTTCATGTTGGTCTATCCCAGTGGTGCCCAAACTTGGGTCACCCAGGTGTTCTTGGACTGCATCTCCTAGAAACCCCAGCCAGGACAACTGGTGGTGAGGGCTTCTGTGAACTGTAGTCCAAGAACATCTGGGTTACAGAACCACTGGTCTGTCCCAAGCAGCCTCCCAACTCAACCAAGACTTGTTGAGCATCAACTCAAGATCTGCCCTGCGTTCTTTCAGCCAATACCTTTTGGTCAGGGATGGGTGATCTGACTGGGATTAACAAGGCAGAAACCGGAAGGTGTCCAAGACAGACAAAAGGTTACACACTCATGCAGCCCTTTTGCCTGCCAAGCGGGCCCCAAATTGTTAAGGGTCCTTCCTACCGACCAGAGATGTTCTCTTTTTTAGCCATGGCCTTACTGGGTTTCTGAACCTTCCAGGATCTGCTAGTGGCCCTAGAGTCAGACCAAAAGGTGGAAGGAGGCATATGGGACATCTCACTGGGATCCCAAGCAAATGACCCTTTCGGCTTAGCAACCGGCAGCCAAATAATAACCACTGCGTTGCTATAGTTAAGTCACAGGCAACAGTGGTCAGCCACATCAAGAATCAGCTGAGGGTTTGGAGCTGGCAGCCCTCCAGTTGCAAAACGGCCCCCGTTGCAAAACTTGGCCCGTCCTTTTCAGTTTTCCATCTCTGTTATGGAGGGGGCATCCATCCCGCATCCTGAACCATGTCATTGGGGGGGGAAAGCCAGCCTCCTAGATGGTCACTAGGGCACCAAATGAACAAATATGTGGATGTTCAACCATTCACTCCTTTTCAGTTTTCCATCTCTGCTATGGAGAGGGCATCCATCCCGCTTCCAGGATCATGCCTCTTGAAGTGATGAACCATGTCATTGGGGGAAAAAAGCCAGCCTCCTAGATGGTCACTAGGGGACCAAGTGAACAAATATGTGGATGTTCAACCATTCATTTGAACCTGGATTGCATCGTGTCAGAAGGATGTCTTGTGCTCCCCTCTTACTCCCCCTTCATGCCCCTCTCCTCTCCTCTCCTCTCCTCTCCCTTTCTAATCCCTCCATGCTATTATTCAAGCCTTCTTCTCCCAGAAGCTTTCATCTGTGCCGTGGTTGCCACGGGAACAGCATCAGCCTCCAGCCCTTCCCTGACAACAGGTGCGAGGAGGTGCTCCTCCCTTAGCTGGGCCACTCAAGGTCTACAGCAGCCATGGGAACAACGCCATGGCAAAGGCTGCCAGGTGGAGAGGGGTGGGGAAGGAACAGGGGACGCTAGGAAACGAGCCAACGAGTCAGCCCAGCTCCTTCTCAGCCTCATGGAGAGGGAAGGGAATCCAGGAAATATGAGTGAAGCCACCACTGTGGCTACCAGCTGTGTCCATTGCAACCATCAAAGCCCCATGGGCGAACTCCACTAGCTCATTTCATCCTCCACGCACATCCAGACAGATTCCAGGCCAGGTAATAACCAAATTTCACAGCGAATGGTAAGGACTGTAGACCATCTTGCTTTTCATTAAAAGATGGGGATGTTAGTTAGCCAGGACCCGTAGGGCTGCCCACCACACCTTTTCAGCATCCTACCAATAACCCTTCAAGGCTGATAGCTTCGACGGGAGCACTAGGGTGCCTTCCCTTCATTTACGAACCGTGTGAATTCCGAGACCTGAACTCTATAATAATAACAGCAGCACCAACAACAACACTAATGATCACAATAACATGCCATCAAGTTGATTCTGACTTAAGGCAACCCTTTCCAGACATTTCAAGGTCAAAAGTATTCGGAAATGGTTCATCATTCCTTTTTTCTGCTCCGCCCCACCCCAGGATGCATAGTGGGGAATCGAACTCACAACCTCTTATTTCAAGGTCAAGAGTATTCGGAAATGGTTAATCATTCCTTTTTTCTGCCCTGCCCCGCCCCAGGATGCACAGTGGGGAATCGAACTCTCAACCTCTGGCTACACAGCTGGAGACCTACCTCACTACAGGGATTCATCTCCTAATGAACAAGTGGTACTCAGACATAAGCATGAAGCTGTAGCTAGAGAGCAGACACAGGACCCAATATACACCCCTCACCTTATCAGAGACGGACCTCTGAGCTCCCCTTGCAGGCTGAAGAAACTTCTCCACGTACAACTCAGGATGGGTGCCCTACATGTTGTACTGAGATGGTCGTCCAGCGGATTCAGACTGTCGGTGACACATCAGAACCATGCCAATCCTCTTGGCACAGAGCCCTGTTGGGCTGCAGCAGGAGGGAAAGAGAGGGGATCAGAGAGAGAAAGGAGCCCCTATCTCATAGCAAATGCCCCCCCTCCCCAACAAAGCATCTCTTAGCTACCTCCCTTCCCCTATGGAAGCCCAGCAGGCTTCGCAGGGAGGGAAACACTGAGGGGTCAGACGGAGCGCCACCTACCGCCTTGAGCGTCTGTGCAAGCTGAAGGGTGCTGGGAAGACGAGACCCAAAGTGGACGAGAGAGGACCATTTCAGGGCCCTTAGAAGTACCCTTTCAGGAGAGGAGAGAGGTGGGTACAACAGCCAGAGAGGAAAAGAGAATGGAGAAACCAGATTTCTTCGCCCTTTATGATTTTAAGACTGAACAGCTGGTGCATTGAAGAAGTGCGTTCAACCATTTGCAATCGAATTCAGCTCCCCCCCCCAAAAAAAGTTCTCTCCAGTTTCTTTGACAACTCCTTCAGCCTCTTTCGTGTGCCCAATATGGGAATTATCTTCTGATTCTCTTGGGCAGAATGAAGATTGGTATCCTCTTCGGATCGGAACTGCCCACCCCGTGCGGATTAAAACAAACGTTCCCTGGGTTGAGGGGATAGTCCCTGGGGAGAAGCAAGAGGATCTTCCTTCAAAAGCGAGATGGGCAGCCGGACGAGGTGGGTTTCTGGAACCCTGAGGGGGCTTGGACCTCGGCTCAGCACAGGGCAAAGTGGGGGACCCCTCCAACCCTTCTGGAACTCCCCATAATAGCAAGGGTTCAGCGTTTGCTCCTCTGCTTTGACTCACCCGTCAGGTGTCCTTCACGAAGGCTAGATCCAACGCTGGAACAGGGCGGGCTAGCAGGAGCAGCTGCTCGTTCCAGGTGGCCTGGGGGGCATCTGAAGCCCCCACCTCAGGCACTTCTCTGACGTCGTGCTTCTGCTCAAAGCAGGCTGCTCCTGAGATGGCCGAGAGGTGTCCGGGGTTTGTCCCAGGGAAGCAGGAAGTTCTTGGGGGAGTCTAGAAAGGAAAAGGATGCTCGGCTCGGTGAGCCTGCAGGTTGGGTGGGCATCCTTCCGCCCTGCTGTGCTTTCCGGCCCTGCAGCTCCTCAGGTGGCCTGGGGGCCGAGGGGCTTCTGGAGGGCACCAAGGCTGAGCAAATGCCACGGGCTTGGGGTGGCCGTGGCTGTGGTCACCCGAGGACATGAGCTCCTGTCTCCCTGCAGCGCACCTGCCTCTGTCTCCAAGCAAACATGTAGCAGCCACAACAAAGCTGCTCCCACCTGGCCTTGTAGTGCCTGGGGATCAAAAGCACAGTTAGCTAGTCTCTCTCTCCCTCCCTCCCTCTCTTTCTTTCTTCTTTCTCTTCCAGCACCACAATTCAAAAGCGTCCCTCCCTCCCCCCCCCTCTCTTTCTTTCTTCTTTCTCCTCCAGCACCACAATTCAAAAGCGTCAATTATTTGGTGATCAGCCTTCTTTAGGGTCCAGCTCTCACTTCCATACATAGTTACTGGAAAAACCATAGCTTTGACTATGCGGACCTTTGTCAGTAAGGCAATGTGATGTCTCTGCTTTTTAATATTGGCACCATTGTGTACATGCATGGTGAGCTTTCTTAGCAGCAGAAGGAAGCTCTGGCATAGGAGAGTTGCAAAGTGCAAGAATTTTGGTGAACAGAAGTATAGTTTCAAGAGATTTGGTGGCTTTACGGCTTCTCTCTGTTTTGTGCAATAAATAGAATCCCCTTCCTTTCCCACGGAACACTCTTTTTTTGACCTGGTGTTTCTATTCCCCTATTTAAAAGATTTTTGTTGTTGTTTAGTCCTTAAGTGAGGTCAGACTCTTCAGGACCCCATGGACCAGCGCATGCCAGGCCCTCCTGTCTTCCATGGCCTCCCGGAGTTGGGTCAAATTCATGTCGGTCTCTTCAGTGACCCTGTCCAACCATCTCGTCCTCTGTTGTCCCCTTCTCCTCTTGCCTTCACACTTTCCCAACACCAGGGCCTTTTCCAAGGCGTATTCTCTTTTCATGAGAGATGGCCAAAGGATTGGAGCCTCAGCTTCAGGATCTGTCCTTCCAGTGAACACTCAGGGTTGATTTCCTTCAGAA